TTTTTATGTTTTATTTTCTCTTGCATATTAAAATTTTAATTTTCTTTTTTCACAGAGTTTTTTTTTTTTTTTAACAGAGAGATTCAAACGTTACTTTTCCATCCATATTCAAAATTTGTTTGATTAAATGAATAGTTTTCTAATTAGATGATAGGTTCTTTTCCCTTATAATTTATTAACCACGAAAAGTAACGGAGAATTGTAATAAATGGCAAATAGTTTTATTATATTAATACATAGTACAATAAATATTTATAAATATAATAGTTTTGTAAGGCAAACATGTGATGTTAAGATATATTTGATAGGTGAATTTATGTAGAGTTTAGATTACCTTTCTTTAAATTTATTGATATTGATTGTTAAAGTGAGCGTAACTCAACGTTATTTGGCATACACCTCTCATCAACAACGACATGTTTGTTCTTGAAAAAAACCATGTCTTTTGTTCTTGAAATTTAAATTTAGTTTCAGTTCAGTGTTTAAAATTTCAAAAGCGACATGTTTGGTCATTGAAGTTTGAATTTAGTTTTTAGTTGGTTTTTGAAGTTTTAATTTGGTTGCTAATTGGTCCCAGAGTTAAGTTGACCATTAGTTTATCTAAGAACATTTTTCATTATCCTTTGTCTAAGTAGCAAAATCTAGTTAACGTATATTAACTGCCATATCATTATTTTGTCAGGTCAACTAATGGTTGACTTAACTTTCAGATAAATTAGAAACTAAACTCAAATCTCATAAACCATTTAAAAACTAAATTCAAACTTCAGAGACTAAATATGTCGTTTTTTTAACTTAAAGGACCGAATATAAATTAAATTTAAATCTAATTAGTGACAAAAAATAATGATTTTTAAATTCAGAGACTAAATAAAAAATAATGATTTTTAAATTCAGAGACTAAATAAAAACCAAATCCAAACCTTAACGATAAAAAATATAATTTTAACTTTAATTATATAACTTTGATGATATTGGTCGAAGGAAGGTTATCACCAAGAAAGACTATGTTTCTAACTTCCATTCTCAAGGAAAAAAAAAATAAGGATAAATAAAGTGCTTTTTTAACTATTCATTAATATTGAAATTTTTTTAATAAAAAGAAAAACAAAGAGAAGGTTGGGTTGAGAAATTACTATCCATATCCATATTAAATTTGAGACTTATAATATGTTTGATAACTATTTTATTATTTTATTTTTAAAAATTAAGTGGGTAAACAATTCTTTCACTCATGTACATATTTTGTTATTTTACGTCCACTTTTTTAAAACTTCTTAAAAATTTAAAGTTTAAAATTTAAAAAATAATTTCTAAAAATTAAATTTTAATTTTAAAATTTGACAAAGAAATTAAATTTGTTTTTAAAAAAAGTTGAAATTATATTAAAGAAATTATAAGCAAATTTTCTAAAATAGGAATTAAAACAGAAATAGTTATGTGCGAACAAAACATGTTTTCATGGACTATTCAGAAACCTTGACCGGCCGAACCAAAATGTAAACACTATATTTTTGGTAGGTACGAAATAGGAAAAATTGCACAAAAAAAAGGACGATGATTGTTGTAATTATATCCTTAAATTTTTAATTGTAAAATTTAAACCCTTAAAAGTTTAGGGGTGTAATTGCAACAATCATCCTACTCTATTTTAAGGTGGTTGTACAATTTACCCTATGAAATATGAATAAAAATATATCAGTTGGTTTAAGGAATTAATTTTAAGTTTGAATTGATCCATCTGCAATTGCTTTTGCAAAGAAAAAAAATTTAAATCTCATTTTAATTTTCTATCCATTCAAACTTATTATTTTTTAACTTTAAAAATATTTATCTTAAATCTTTGAATTTCTTAAAAAGAACCATTTCTAATCTGTATGAAAAACTTAAAAAAAAAATTTCATTTTAGTCCTGGCTAGTATATAGCATCAATTTTGCTCCACCACATTACACATCTCAACAAGCTTGTATAACTTCAATACATAATGATATATGTGGATTAACTGATATATTCAAAGCCAAGTGATTCCTTTGTTAAATAATTGACATCCTTCGACATAATAATAGAAACTAAGGACAAAAAGAAAAGTTATGACAAAAAAAAAAAAAAAAAACTAGACCTCGTGCTTCAATATATCATGTTAAATTATTTGATCAACTAAAAAACTTAAATTTTGATAGCTTTCGGTAAATTTAATATTTTGTAGATATCTTAACATTCGAGTTTTTTTTTTTTTTYTTTTGMTATACCCATAAAATGTTTAGTCTGATAAAGATATTAATTGAAAATGAAATCAAACATTGTTGATTGTCTTGTATCATCAAATCATTGTTTTCAAATTAAACACCTAACTCTCAATTTTGCACTCGCAGACCTCTGAATTAGAAACTGTTAAGGACAACGATATCCCGAATATCCCTATAATGGTATGATATTGTCCGCTTTGGACATAACCCTCACGACTTTGCTTTTGGTATCACTCAAAAGGGTCTCACAGCAATGGAGATAATTGTCCTCTCTTATATAACTAACTATGATCATTCCCTTCCCTAGCCAATATGAGACTTTATTTGCAATTACCTTACAAATCCAACGGAAACAAATGTCTAATAAAGTTAAGATATTTTAAATTTACGTACTTGGAAAAATTTGGTGAAGGTATGGATTGTGTGGAGCGAGTTGAATGACAACTGGCAGACGTGAACCTCACATTTGGATTTTGGAATAAAGAATTATTCAATGTTATTTTTCCACCATACACTGCAGTCTTTATATTTGGCACATTTCTGTTGTGTGGTGTAATTCCAATTATCAGAGGAACATGATGAACCCACACCATTTCATTCTCTGTCTGTCTTGTTTTTTTTGTCAAATTTGATGGAATTGAAAATTTATGGTAAAAATTGATTTTTTTCTCAAATTTTGATTACCGAGTGTACCCAAAGATATTTGATTATGAGAAGATGAAACTTTCACCTTTCCGGATTTTCCTATCTTATCTATTGTTGATACTGATTTTTTAATGTAAACCAGATATGTGTTCGTCTCCAAATTTTTGTTGCTAGAACACATAAATCTAGCACTGATGCTAAGTTAGAACTCAAAGTAGGAGAAAACTGGTGGTATATGGAGAAAAAAGATTAGGAAGATAGTAGTTTTGCGGGTGAGAGTTTGTTTGAGAGTGTGTGTCAAATCTTCAAAAGAAGTTGGGTAAGGAAATACGACTACCTTCCTTTTAAGGTTGCTCGCTCCCTTATCTAATGAAAGAAAAGAGGTTTTCCATTGTGAGGCAGATACAAGGAGTCGGTACGCCGTGCTTGAGGTACATGAGGACCATCAACATCCTCTTTTCCCTCTGTGCCGCAAGTGGAGAGGCATGGCGACGCCTTGGGTGATCCTTTGAGACGTATCGCATGTTCAGGTACAATCCATCCTATAGTTAATGCGCTTGAGATTGGACCCAATACGCTCGGTCTCTAAAGGTTATTTACCCAGCCTGCATGGTCAGATGGACTTTCAATGCGTGGTACCTCAATTTTACCCGATAATATCTATAAAATCTATAATAAATTTAAATGAATAGTGTGTCGAACACTCTCTCACTTTTTCAGAATAAAAATTGTTTGAAAGTAGCTGTCGTTAAAGGTACCATGCGAATGTTTGGTTCTTACTCAACAAACGCCCCAATGCATTGTGATTTGCATATCAATTATTTTAAGATCTCAATCAAAATCAATTATTGAGTCGGTTTTAAAATTCTTTAATTTCAAAATAGAACTGTCTTTGATTTAATTTTGATTAGAAAGTGTCTTCATATAACTTTGTGGGTCTGGGTGAAGGCTCGTTATCATTTTCCTATATATAAAAAAAAAGGTTTAGGTGTATTATTTTTTACCTTTTTTATCAGCAAAAAGGATTGCAAAAGTGTAGAAGATTGTAGTGCTCGACCACAAGTTCAAGTCAGTATTTAGTCCAAATTGCACATCTCTAGGAAGGTAGGACTCCTACTAAAGTGGTGCATGATATAACTTTGTTCGTATCTGTTGGATATTTTGTTCGACAGTCAAAAAATCCGTCGTTAGGAAAGTAGACATTTCATTCGTTGCCTACAGATGCTTGGTCAAAATCTTTCCTAGCTAGGTCAAAGCCGAGTATTTCGCTCGCTACTACTACGGAAATCTTACTTTCTTTTCCTCTGCTACTAAGATGGGCGGCTCCTCTCCAAGATCACACATAGGCTCTTCCTCCTCATCTTTAGTGTGTCTCAATGAGGGAGGGCCACCATTTTGCACTTAGTTTTACCCCTAAGAACTACTACATGAATTAATTTAAGCATTTCAAACAATATAATGTGTACAGTACTAACCAATGATAGGTGTTGGTTATTCAAACTTAAACGAACAGTACACCCAAATCTAAAGAAATATAGAACTAATAACTAACTAAACTTCAATAAAACGAACAGCACTTAGTTTTACCCCTAAGACTTCTCCGCGCACGAAGAAGAAGAAAAGGAATTGCTGCAGCTTAAGGTCTCTGATTTTCACAAAAAATAGCGCCCCCACTTTTTGAGGTTTCCTGCCAGCGCACAACTAATTTTTCAGCACAATTATTTGGGCCCAAGTGAGCCAATGGCTCAAACAATAGGATACGTTCATATTATAGCAAATTTACCACGTGTGTGTGTATATATATATATATATATATATATATATATATATATTTAATACACCAAGTTTGAGGAGAGGATTCGAACTAATCACAACCTCTTGTTTGTAGGTATATGTTGGTTCGATTTGGTACAAATTTACCTTATATCCAAGAGTAACTATCAACCAAAGAATTACATTACACCAAAGCAATTTTCCAACACTATATATGTACAAAAAACAAGTATGCTATTTTGGAGTACAAGTTGACTGAGTAGGAAAGACACGACTGTGTGGCTTTTACTTTTCGATTACAATAATATATAATGCAATGACTCCATTTGTATTACTTCTCCATACCATGAAAGAACAAATTTTCCACAATATTTTCCATAGTCATAATGGATCGGTTTCTGCCATAATTATACGCCAAAGGAACTGCCCTTGCCACATTGAGAGAAGCTTGTGTGAACTTGGAAGGAAATGTTTTGGATAATAAGTATTCTCTGTTAAGAGTCTTCCATGCTTCACAAATCTTCTTCATAACATGTTGTTGTGTGCTTTCACAAGACACACTTGGATGCTCCTTCATATAGCATTCTAAATACGACCCATCACGCCCCTCTTGCTTCTCATCCTATGTACAATATGTAAATTATACATTTTAACTCATATTTTTCATGTTATATAAGTTTATTCATCAATTAATTTCAACATTTATCAGCGATAAGAATAAGACTAACCTGGGCAGTTCCCATATCATCCCAAAGCCGCAGTACTGCAGCACTGGATGAAACAATATCTAAATCATCTTCCAAAAGTTGCACAGTTTCGTTGCTTATTTGTTGGCCTATCAGAAAGAAAACGTGTACTAAAATAACGGGGATGCCGGTGCTCGCAATTCCATTTCTCAGATATTCTTCTGCACTCGGTGAATGTCCACAACTCAACCATTCTGCTTCCACTAAAAATGTCTTGCATAATTTAGCCCACTGCAAAAGTAATGAAGCTCACTTTACTCAAGTTCCGTTTTAAATGATTTTTTTAAAACAATTTTAGAATGATTTGAGAAGGAGTGATGTTAGTAAAAGAGATTTCGGATATGTTTTGGGAGTGATTTTGACATGACCAAAATTACTTTTGTTATTGTCAAAATCACTCAAATCCATATTGATAGTTAGAAAATTCATTTTAGGAAATCTTAAAATTACTTTAAATTGATTTTTAATTACGCTGATTTTGGAAAATTAGTTTAGGATTAATTTTTTTTTTTAAATTACTAATTCTACCCTCACTCATAATCACATCTTTAATAATAATTGATTTTTTATATAGTCATTTTAAGGTTTGGTTGCACACTTCAATTGATTTTTGTATAGTTAAAAGTTATTTTGAAAGATAAAAGTTAGAGAGGAACCAATATCTTAGAAAGAAATTTTAGAGAGTGAAAGGTAAAAGTTTTAGACAGAGATGGAAGCTAAAAATTTAGAGGATATTAAACAATTTTTTAGAGAAAAAAATTGGAGAAAATAAACCAAATTAAAGATAGATAAAATTAGAGAGAGAAAAAAATGAAAAAAAAAATCTCAAATTTTAAGATGAAAATAAGATGAAATCCAAAGGCAAATTTCAAATTTAAAACAATAACCATTTTAAAAAATAATTTCCTATTAATTTATTTTAAACAAAAAAATCACTTGGAAATCACCTCCCAGTGATAGACAGATTTTGGAATTGAAACATGCTATTTGGTGATGATTTTTACATGAGTGGGTGTGATTCTAGCCTTCCTTTGGTTGGATCCGAATACGGGTGTGTTTGGAAGTGATGATAGAATTAGTGATTTTGAAAAAAAAGAAAATTAAGTAGGATTGATTTTTCCAAATCAAAATCGATACCTTAAATGATTTAAAACTTTTCTAAAATCAATTTTTTAATAATTTGACCATGACTAAAACACTCCCAAAAAAGACTTTAAAACTAATCAAAAATTAAAAGAAAAAAACATACCGCTTTTTTGAGGGAGCCAATAGGATTCCAACCATGCTTTTGATAGATCTTGTAGCTTATTTCATTTGTAACTTCAAACAGAGATCTTAAACAAATTCGCATGCAATCTGGTAATCCTTTGGCAGCAGCCAAGTCCCATCTGCACATGAAAATACAACATTAGATATAGAGTAATTAGGTGAGTAAAGTGATTGATGATGCCGCTTAATTTGTAACCTGTGGACAGCTTCTGTGAGCAGAGTGAGTTCATCGTGAGTTCCGAAGACATCAAAAAGATCATCAATGAGATATACAAAAGAGATGGATTTTGCTAGTTCAACTCTCTGTTCGGAAAAGTAGGAATCTGTGAGACAAACCAGCGAAGCCATGTACCATTTGATTGGTTGATCTCTAGCAAAATTCAACTCTTTCGCCAAATCTGTTTCTTTCCACCATCTAAAAAACACACCAACATTCAAGAGATTAATATAATGTTTGCATCACTGACAACAACTTGACTGTTTTTTTTTAACAACAAATTAAGGGTACTAGAATTTCGATCTTACAGAAATGAATAGCGCTTAGATTGGGATAAGAATATGTCTTTTGAATACTTACTTTAAAAATTGAGCAATTTCGTTTTGGTGTAATCTTTGAGTTGCATAAAACTCGATTTTTGCAGCATCTTGCAAAATATTAATCCATTTATTTCCCCATTGAATATCTCCAAAATAGTTGGGCACCATGAACTGCGCCATACTTTTATGATGAGGATGAGCTAAAGTATTATGCACAAAAGTGGCCACATGATGATCCACATGCGCAACCCTAGCATTTAGCCAATGCCTGCTGAAATTTTCAGCTTCTTCAAGTATCTCATCTCCATGCATGCATAACTGTGAAGCTTCGTATAAACTCGTCAGCCCATTGATATCTTCTCTTAGTTTTTCGTGGAACTTTCCCTCCTTGTCCAAGAAATTTTTGAACACTGTTCAAAGAGTAATAGTGAAATATTATCAATATTCATGAAATTCCATCGGAAAATCAATTAGCAATGGGAGGAAAAAATACACATTCCATTTTCTTTACAGTGTGAAATCTATTAATATCATGGGTACAAAATGCTCCTTTGAGCTTCTGGACTCTGATAGAATATTTATGGAGTTCAATTAAAATCCAATTGACAAGGGAATGAGTAATCCACTTATATTATAAATCTTTGTTAGGTCTCTTTTCAATCAATTTTGGGATCCTTAACACAATCTCAACCCAATTTTGAAAAGAAAACATTAGCATCTAAAAAAACATTTTTGGTTAACGAAATGCTTTTGACACTTTCAAGATTTCTACTGTGCTCACTGACGGAATTGATATTTTTACAAAAGAGAGCCTCTCCAGACCAAGGCATACTATATGGTAATGTTGGTTCTATTTTTTGGAACTATCTTAGATGGACAAAAACAATCTAGATTGCGAACTTGGTTTTCAGAATCTACCCTTTTTTGTAATTATCATATTTTTATCCCATCAATTTGCTTCTTTGGTATGTTCTCACATACCAAAATAATAATAATAACTAAACACTACCAATTTTCTTTCTTAAAAAAAAATATATATACTTCTAGCCGCCAATGTGAGCTCTTTAAAAATCATGCCAAAAATACACACTAAAATAGAACTTTACGTAAAGAATTAAGAGATAATTACATAAAATAGATACTTATTTACCAATATAGCAAACAGTTTAAAAATGGAAAGTTGTGAAATATATTAAATATCAACCTGGAGAGACTTGGTAACCTTGTTGTCTGAAAAGTCGAAAAAGAAGAGCAGCCTTATGAAGATCATTATTACGAGATGAAGCTGCATTAAATAACACGTATTGCGTCTGAAGAACAGCTTCAATCTCCTCTTGGAAATGGTTGTCAATGCCAAGGCGCTGGGCTGCATCAATTAGGTTCAAACATTCCCAAGGATCTCCTACTTCTCTCAAAACATGCTTTAAAATCCTCAATTTAGCTGGATCTTCATGCCCACTATTATTCTGCATATTCGATTATCAATTCCACATAATTTAGAAGATTAAAACCCATTTACCAAAAATATAGAGAGAGATGGGTAAACGTACTGTGAAAATGGTAGCTTGGTTGATGTTATAATGGTGAGGTTTTAAGGGAGTGGGAAGCAATGGAAGATCTCGAAGAATAATGCTTTGTTTGTTTATCGGAAGATTCATGGGACGACTGGAATCATTGTTTTGTGGAATATTTAGTGTTGCAGCCAATGGACTAAAGGAAGCAAATCGAGAAAAAGCCATTCTTTGTATTTTTTTATTTTTTGTCAAAAGAGAGAGAGAGAGCTGACAATGGAAAGAGTGGAGTGCAAGTGGTGAAGTGCTGATGGATTATACTTATTATATAGGGTGGATTTAGTTAGTGATTTGAAAATACAGATATGAAAGCAAGGTTTAGGTTGGAAAACAAGGTTTTATATTTCATATTTTCAGTGTTATCCGATATATATTTTGATAGTATATTTGAAAATTGTATCCCAATTTAAAAAAATTATAAATCATAATATTAAATATCCGTAGATATGTCGACATGAGTTCAACATCGACATGAGGAGTAAATCAGCATTTTCATCATTTACAAAAAAAAAATCGACAAAATATAAAAAATATCAACAAAATATCATTAATATATACATAATAATTTTTTTTAAGATAACATCTAGGAGTGGGAGATCGATCTCTCGATCATAACCTCTTTGTTAGAGATATTGCCAATTACCGTTACATATGAATTATACTCACTTGGATATATACATTATATTAAAATTAATTATTTTTAACTTATTTAGAAATAGAAAAATGTTTACTAGTTAATTTAAATGTTTTATACGAATTTTTTAATTTCTCTAATTTTTAGAGAAATATCCATCAAAATCAATATTCTATGAAATTAAGACCTTATTTAAAACATTGGTTACAACTAAATATTTAGCTAAATCTAAAATAATATTAATTAGCATAATTTGTAGAATTATTATCTTACATTACAATATTATATAATTATGTTAATTTTAAATTGAAATAATATATTTATAATTTATTTTAATGTAATTATATATTTTAAAGTTTCAAATTGAAGTTGTTTTTATTATGATTTTGATCACAGAATTTAAACAGTTTCTAAAAACATTTCTACAAATGTATATTCATATTTAATCCCTCCGATCAAGTGAATCTGGAAAACGAGAAGCAGAATTTAAATGAAATACCAAATAGGTTCATAGCTTCTGTCCATTATTTCATTAACTCTAACTTTGAAGTCAATACGCAATCTTTTGCCTCCCACATGTAGTTGAGTCTAAATATTAAGGAAGCAAAAGTGGACTTTTATGAATCTTAACATTTTCCATTTATTTCCTATCCATTTTTGTTGAAACATGGGGTTTCTTCATATACTATAAAGTATTTTTAACGTGTTCAATAACAATACAACGTATGCTTCCCTTCAGATTAGAGCTCCCAGTCGTTGTCGGCATTTAAGGACAGATATTCCACCAATTGATTGCCTCGAATCTAACTACTTTAAATTTTACATTTTATGGGGATATTAAATATCTCTTTTAACACGTAGACATTAATTTTCATCAATATTTTTATATGGGGTTGGATTCGATGTTTGTTGGGTCTGTACGACCAATGCAAATAAAGTCCACAATTGTTAGGGTAGAGCCATAGTTTCAAATTTCGAGCGGCACGTCGACATGTCGCTTAATATTTAAGCTATATAATCTATTTTTATTGATTAAAAATGAAGAAAAAGAAACAATAAACAGACCATACAAGTTCAAATTAGTTAATTGTAAAATGCTTGAATTTTTTCTAAAAAAATTGAAAACGAAAAACAAGAAACGAAAACGTTACCAGACAGGCTCTTATAAACCCATTCTTCCATTTGTGACATATACCAAATGATCGCTTGTAGGTTCAATTGTGGACATTTATATATGATAAACAATATTAGATCTAATTTGCTAATAGAAGATCTAATATAACAGTTAACAAGTTTAATCTTAAACAGCAGCCCAACCAAAACAGTGTTC